AGAAATCAAATAAAATCCAAATATCTAAAAGAGAGTAAACAGGAGATGTCTAGTGACTTAGGAGAAAACCTTTATCACAGAAAACTTACAGCACAGGGTGATGATCCTGTTGCAATGGCAGCCAAAAATAGTATTGGAAATAAGTCAACAGAGAGACATGATGCATGTTTATGTAAGAGTATTAGCGCTGGTGGTGTTGAGCTGAAGTCAGATGAGTGTGGCATCAGAGGTAGCGAGAATTCATCCTCCTGTCAATCAAAGAATTCAAAAGATGATCCACAGATCCAGAACGATACTCAGTCTGCTAAGGATAATGAGCAGACAAATAGAGCAAGAAGAGCAGAACCAATTAAAGACTCAATATATTCATCCAATACATTATCAGTTCACGTTAACAGAACCGCTTTTGTGAAACAAGACCTGCTGGTGCCGTGGCATTTGAAATCAAAAAATGGAAAGAGAAACAATATTGGAGAAGAAAATGCATCAAGCAAAGATCAGAATGTCGCTGAGAATGTGTGCACTAAGACAGTCTTTCATAGATTTTATCATGTCTACAAAGAAGGCGAGTTAGAAAGTCTGTGTCAAGAATGCAGCGGTGTGCGGATAGTTGAAGGCTATTATGACGAGGGAAATTGGTGTGTTATTATGAAGAAAGAATGAACATTCTCTCATGGTGTGCATATTAATGATTTACATTTTGAGTCTCCAAAATTCCTGATTTGATGTCAAATTTATAATGATATTTATATAGAATTGTAAGATTTACTTACTACCTACAATGAATGATTCACCTAAGAAAGTGTACTCTCAGGGTGAATGTAAGAATTCATTGTTGTACTGCACAGAATGATATGATTCAATAAAGACGACAATAAATAAAGTGTACTCTCAGGGTGAATGTAAGAATTCCTTGTTGTACTGCACAGAATGATACGATTCAATAAAGACGACAATAAATAAAGTGTACTCTCAGGGTGAATGTAAGAATTCCTTGTTGTACTGCACAGAATGATACGATTCAATAAAGATGACAATAAATAAAGTGTACTCTCAGGGTGAATGTAAGAATTCCTTGTTGTACTGCACAGAATGATATGATTCAATAAAGACGACAATAAATAAAGTTGTGTAGGTTTTTGTCCTTTTTGACTGCAAGTTTGATCAAATGTGTAGACACAGTAATTTAAAATAAAATGTATGTGAATGTCACTTACCAGTTGAAAAGAATCACTTCCTTTGTGTACCTATATTTTCTAATCTGTGCCTTGATAATATATTTTCTAAAAACGGCTGAATTTTCCTATAACTCGCCATGTAATGCATATATTTTCATTAAAAGTGATTACAATTATGATATCTCCATTTTATTTGAATACTGAGTAGCGGATATTGTCAATATAGTCTTTTTGAATTCATACACGGTTATTGTGTATTAATACAAGTTTGGAGTTTATCAACCACACTAAGTGTTGTATTTGCACTTCTATATATTCATGAACGATAAAAAAGACAGATGACATGGATACTTTGGTTCAAATTGGTCTGAGTAGCTCGCATGTAATTTAACATTCTACTGAGTAATGGAAAACATTGCCATTTTTCCAATTGAGTGTTAATAGATCTAATGGCAAATTTTCTGGATGGGGTTTCCTGTTGCACCCCTATGTTTGGAAGATATATAAGTAATTAGAAAAAAACACATGGTTCTGTGATAAACGTTCATTACAGTTATGGCACAGCACGTCACAAAATATGACACATTTTTGTAATGTCAGAAAATGTAACATAATAATGAATGTTGCCAGGCATATCAACCATTACACGAAAAAAGTCTAGTGCAATGTCGAGTTCATCTGGGAAATCTTAGGGTCACAAGACGAAAATTGGGCATAAAGTTTTTATAATCGGTCAAAAAATCTCCTGAAACTATTAGCGTGTTAAAATGTCAGAATTGGCCAGCATATTGAAATGTCAGAATTGGCCAGCATGTTAAAATGTCAGAATTGGTCAGCATGTTAAAATGTCAGAATTGGTCAGCGTGTTAAAATGTCAGAATTGGTCAGCGTGTTAAAATGTCAGAATTGGTCAGCGTGTTAAAATGTCAGAATTGGCCAGCATGTTAAAATGTCAGAATTGGTCAGCGTGTTAAAACGTTAAAATTGTAGCGCTTGATAATTCTAACTCACTTTATAAAATGACATCACATGCAAGCAAAATACCAATGGTATATATACCTATTTTCTATACTGTATTTATTATTATACTTAGTTAGTTACTTGGTGGTTGAGAAAGGGTATAAAGCAATAGCAGCTAAACAAAATAATGACATGCAAGCACAATGTTAAAGCGCGGTGGTCGTCGCGCAGCGCGTGTTCGAATTCCATGTAAACAATGTACTTTGCACGCGTTGTATGCGTCGTATGAGTCCCATATCGAACAGGACGCGGCACGACGACTGTAGCCTTTTAAACTGCATGGACATTTTTTTACGAAAAGGTTCTACAAGAAATGATATGTCCCCAGCACAAATTCTGTTTTAGTGTAGTGCAGCCGTCTTGATAATATTGTGTGCGTAGGTAATATTATGTTTGGGAACAAACTTACCCACCCAGAAGCTTGAGTTCACCTTCGACCTTTAAAGGACGGTGGTCGTCTCACAGAACGTGCTCTAATTTCACGTACGTGGTAAACAAACAATGCATTTTACACGCGCTGTGTACGTCGCTACGATACCCACATCGATCAGGACGCGGCGCGACAACCGCCGTCCTTTAAACGTTCTTTGACTGCAAATACCGGCCACCCAAAGAAAGGACATAATTCCACATGTATGTAAATTGTTATTTAACAATTTAATCCATGTGCACTATTTTCACTGACAGGAAAATGGTCATTTATTCTTGAACTCGCAGAAGGGCTTGGTCGTCACGTCGCGTCCTGGTCGATAGCGTGTAAAATACATTGTTTGTTTGCATGAAATTCGAATACGTGCGACTACCACCGTCTTTTCAAATAGTTTGTTAACCATTCGTTCACTTTTTACATTTTGGGGAATTGCCGATCTGTTGAAATACAATGTGGTATTATCGCGCCCTCGCCATTTTGAAAATCTTTGTTGTTATCATGGATGTACTCTTAGTACATCCATGTTGTTATGCACCACCTGCGAATTCAACAGACCAAGTTGTTCGTGTTCAAATCTGCAGTTACTATTAGTACTCCAGTACCCTATAAAGGACGTGTGATTTTAGGGACATTTTGCAAATTCCTGTAATAATAACAGCAATGAATC